AGGTAGAAGCAGCCGCGACTGCCATGACCAGCGCCGCAGCCTCGAGCGCCTTTGAGCAGGAACGTGGGCGAGCCGCGCGCCGGAGATCTCCTTCTCCACGCTTGCAAGCGCCGCCGGCTGAAGTCACTTCCTCACGCGCCGCCTCCTCCGGCTGGCCGGGCTCGCTGAAGGTATCCAGAGGGCTGGGCGCCGCGCTTGGCTGCGCGAGAGCTCCTCCCCCGAGCGCGGGGACGCTGCTCGGAGGAGACGCCGGGCTTCTGCCTTTGCCGGCAGCCCCCGCTGCCGCCTTTCTTCCGCCGGGGATCGACCTTTCGGTCTTGCATGTCGTCTCGAATGCTTTGCTAGAGAAGGGAAGAATTGCTCGGTCTAGCTCATTGTTGGAGGCAGTGGCTGGATTCACGCATTACGCTAGCGGTGTAGGCAGGGACTTCAGATCCCCCGGTCTGGATGGATTGCCTCTTAGGGGACTGCAACAACTTGCTGGTGGTTTGGCCAAGCCTCTTTTCGTTACTTCTGAGAAATCCTGGAGGACACATGACGTCCCAGATGACTGGAAAGAGGGAAAGTCTCTGTCTTCCTAAAAGGGAAAAATAGGATGCAGGGGAATACAGGTCAGTCACTGACATTTTTGCCTGGCAAGACTTTTGAACCATAAAACGATTGCCTGGTAAGCTACCTTGAAAACAATGCAGTGGCCGCATCAATCTTGAGCTAAACTAGACAGTGATCAGATTCTCTTAAAAAAAAAAAAAAATGTTGAAAAAGACATGGAAAGCTAGATTCATCTAGCACACGACTCCTAAACCAAAATATGTTATAGTTTCATAGGATAGTATCTGTTGAGTAATAATACAAAGTGTCACGTGCAAATGCTTAGAGCTATGACTGATGAAGAAACAGGAGAAGGTTAAAATGTTATTTGTGTTTGTTTATAGTGTGAACACCTGCAGAGGCCACAACACAGTGGTGCAACTACAGGAGAATGAAGTGATCATACAGTCTGTTTCAGATTCCTTTTTCTGATAAACGCATTTTCAGGTAGTCCTTGGTTAGTGACTGTCTCATACACTGATCACAGTTACAAGGGTGATGAAAAGTAACTTTGCAACCAATCCTCGCATTTATGACCTTTGCAGGTCTATAAAGCAAAGGAAAGCTGAAGTAAGATCATAAGCACAGTTGTGGTTTCACTTATTGACAGCTTCACTTAACTTCACTTAAAGTTGCTTGTCCCATTTGCGGTTGCTAAACAAGGACTACCTGTACACTTGCCCAGGTATGAAGAAGTGCAGGTTTTAAAATGAAAAGTTTGTGTGGTAATTGCCGCTGTTTAGATGTACATGGAAAGTTAAGCTCCAAAAGAATGGTTGACCAACTATGATTACTGATGAAAAGCAAACGGAAGAGATCTGTAAAATTACACAATAGTTAAGCACACAAGATTGTATTTTATGAAACTGTCCTGTGTTGTCATGCTGTGGAACATAAACCTTTTGACCTAAAATAATAGGGTGCATCTAATGCTAAGCACTACAATTTGGATGGCCCAATGCACAATGCACATGGGCAGAAATGCAAAACAACACTTCAAGGGGTGGGATACCACCAACACTCTGAAAGTTGGCATATCCTTGGTAAGATATGCTTAAGCAGGATTGTACTATCAACATGGGAAAAGAATCTTCTTGTAGCCTCCTTATTGCCAGAGCAGGAAGTAGACCCTCAACCAAGTTGTATCATATTGCCAAAACATGATTAATACTCAATTATATTACCAATATTGTTAGGCATCCTGTTTTATGATTATATATTAGAGACATGGGTTTCTTCATTACAGTAGAATAAAAGCTATTTATATCTCAAAAGATACACTTTATTGTATTAATCATATAGATTTTAGATTTAGATTTATTAATCTATATGATACTAGGGGCATCTGCAGGTCATAAAAGTCAAGATAGTGCAATACATACAAAAAGGGGTGGAACTTCGATGACCCCCTTCATGGATCACTGCCTTGTCGTGGCGAAGGGGCTTGTGTAACTCAGTGAAGCCA